CGCATCTTCAACCATGAACGAGAAACGAATGAGAAACCAAATGATCCAGAGAAGATTGAGATAAAAAAGCTTTAGAACTACTATAATAAAGAAACATGACTAGGGAATAAAATAAATACGGATAAAACCAAGCGGGAAGAAGTTAAATAGAAAAAGAAAAGCAAACTGTGGACCCAGATTCCCAAAGCCATTAAGGACTTGTCACTTTGGCAAAATGGACATTCAATACTAGCTTCCACGTGTCTCTCTCATCGCAAGAACTTAGTGCTATATAAAATAAATTCCATGTCCATCCACTTGAGATCAAGATTTCCATCTCTTTCATGGCAAGAAAATTTGAGGCTTTGTCTAGGTTGTCTTTATTGAAAAGTGCGTTCTTTTGAATATTTCGTTCGGGTTATGGTGTTTTTAAGTCGTCATGTTTCACTCAGAATATGGAAAATATCATAAAGGTGCGGTTTGGATGGCTACACTCTATAGCCAATTTCCCACATGGCTTGGATGGTTCCACTCTGTAGCCAATTTCTTGCATACAAATGAGCCAAACGTACCCAGAAACCATTTGAATGACAGGGCACTATGAAAAACTAAAAAGCAGTCTCTTTGTCCATATTCTTATCATTTATTTTTATAGATTCGCAGATGGAACAACCTTAACACCACATGATTTGCTCAGATTTACGATGCTGTAAGAATTTTAGAAAGGGAAACTATGTTAACCACAGAAGACGCGTTGTTTTTCACTAGTTACATCTAACGTCCCTGAAATAATTCCAAGAATTCCCAAATTCTAATTCTAATTCAATTCAATTATAAGGCATCCAGTATGAATCTTTACAAGAGAGCTTCGAGAAAAACATTAGTTAATATAAATTTCCAGTAACTTCGAAACTTAATCCAAAAAACTTCTAGCAAGAAAAATTAGTAACATATACGATTAAAAATTAAAAGAGTACTTAAGAATCTATAGCTCTATCTGAAATTGAAGAAAAGTATATTTGGTAGAAAGAAGACAGACCTGGATGCCAAGGCATAGTAGATCTGCTATTCTCTTCAAGGTTATCCGTGAGTAGTATTTTGAGATGACAATGATGTTCTGCAAGGAAATAATCTCTTAAAGATATACATTACAAATTTTACAACGGTAAACAAATCTAAGTTGGTACATGCACAATGAGGGACCCTTCAAGTACTCTAGTCAGAGATGCGACACTCAGGACAACGAATCTGTAGACCATGGATATCATAACTAAAGATTAAGTAATAGATTTTTGATATAGAATGACTGGAAAAGTGGGTTTAAGGATTACATGTTCTATTACTCTCAATCTAAGATCTTCGACTGCTTTTTCACTCAAAGAGCCACCAAGCATGTTCTTCTCATTCTCAAACTCATCTTTGAATGTGTTCCAAAGGGATGTCCACTGAATGATTTCCATGGTAACTAATTGTTTCAACAGTAACCTTGAGACAGAGTAAAAGAAAGTAACAATGAAATTGAGTAACATAATTCTGCGAAGGAAAATAAATTAAAAGGAAACCTTGAAAGAGTTATAAAGCACTAACCTGAAATGAGGAATTTCTGAAAGATTCTTATCCTCCAGGGTTGAGTTAAGAAGGCTAGATTG